AGCAGGAATCAAGGCCAGCTATTAACTTCATTGGGAATATATCTAGCTAATGCCAGGGTTGTTTTTTTCCAGTAAAAAACTGGATGAGGGGGCCTCCACCTCCCATCTCAGTTCTGAGACACACAAGACAACAGAAATCTGAGTAAGAATTTCAGAAATATGGGATGGACTAAAACCAGAGTTGGACACAGCCAGATGAGTCCTGGCTCCCACTACATTATTGTTCTGCTGATCTTAGTGTCCAACTGCAACCAGAACACTTTTAATTCAGTAGGGAGGTTTCAGCAGTGGTTCAGTCGTGGTTCTGAACCTGTTACATCTCCAAATAAACCTGACAGGCTGATCATTCACTTTGGTGCAGCTTCCATCAGCCTCAAATGCTGCAACTCTTCTGTGTGACAAAGCAGCAGCAGAGCAGGCTACTTCCCACACCAGTATGAATGGCCTTTGCAGGTCACTTTTCCACATCTATTTACTAGTATCTGTATTATAAACAGTAGCTATCTTGTGCTAAACCTTGCTGGGAAAAATGCCTGGGAACTAGACACTTCCTTAAAGGCAGCATGTGGGATGGTGAGACTGCCCAACCTTCCTCCCCTTCGGAATCACTTCCTTTGACAGGGAATTAGAGGACTAAAAATGGGCACCAGCACCAGGAGTTCTACTTTCCAAGGAACTGTGATGATGCCTACAAGAGGAACTGCCTACATTCCACACTCAGAGGCCACATGGGCTGTCACTGGGAACTGAAATGGGGTGGTTTTAGAACAAACCAAAGCTTGTTTAGAAGTAATTTGTGGCACTGGGTAACTTACAGTCTTAACACTGAGAAGGTGACATCCAAATGATCACAAAAATACTAATTTGGGTTAAATAGCATTTCTGGTAACATTTGTGCCTGCATGAACAACTTGCAAAGAGCTGAAGTGCCACTTGGTTTTCATTGCTAAGGACAACTGCACAGCACTTCCAAGCTGCAGATAAACCCAGCTGAACACACTCCCAGAGGCTGGTCCAACATGTTGGCCATGCTCATTTCCTCACACCTAGTTAAGCCCAAAAGCTGAGGGAGGGATACAGGCCCACACATCACTGGAAGATGAAAGATCTTCAGTTTAGCTCAAGCACTAGACAATGACTTGTGAGTGCTGAACAGCTGAAACT